ATGGATGACCTCTGAGTTATGACGCCTAAGCAACAGGAAACAGAAAGCCTACAAACGTGCTAAGCGCAGTAAAGATTCAAAAGACAACAAGCGATACAAGGCACTCAAAGGGCAACTACAGAGAGAATCCAGGAGGGCACACACAGCTTACTTGGAGGATGTCGTCAGCGATGACCTGCGTACCAATCCTAAAAGGTTTTGGACTTATATTAAAAACAGGAAGCAGGACTCATCCCAGATTGTGACACTGAAGTCCAAAGACGGTTTCCTCCATAGCGATACTGCCAGTAAAGCCTCGATTCTGAATGAGCAGTTCCACTCTGTATACACGCAAGAGGACTTGAGTACTCTACCCGATCTAGGACCTAGCCCCTTCCCTACTATGGACAGCATAACCATTAACGAGAGGGGAATATTGAAACTACTACAGGGACTACGCCCATACAAAGCTACTGGACCCGATGAGATTCCAGCGTTCATCCTGAAGCAAAGTGCAGAGTCCATAGCCCCATATCTGACAAGGATGTTCCAGCTTTCCTTAGATCACGGTCAGATACCAGATGAATGGCGTAGAGCAAACATCGTCCCTATATATAAGAAAGGGGAGAAACATCAACCATCAAACTACAGGCCAGTCTCTCTAACATCCATAGCCTGCAAACTCCTGGAACATGTTGTACACAGCACAGTTATGGACCACTTCGATCGGAACAACATCCTCTGTGATGAGCAACATGGTTTTCGAGCCCGACGATCATGTGAGACACAACTTGTTATAACACTAGACCAGTTAGCCAAAAACATGGACCAGGGATACCAGACAGATGTGATACTTCTGGACTTTTCAAAGGCTTTTGACAAAGTCCTCAACCAACGTCTCCTACTGAAATTGGAGCACTACGGAGTGTCAGGCACCACTCTAGGCTGGATAAGGGACTTCCTAAGTCGGAGAACCCAATCATTGGTACTGGATGGGCATACATCTTCACCGTTGGATGTCCTTTCCGGAGTGCCACAAGGAACTGTCTTGGGACCACTCCTTTTCCTAACCTACATAAATGACCTTCCTGAGTGCACCAAATCAGACGCCAGACTGTTTGCGGATGACTGTCTTGTATATCGACAGATCCGAAACCAGAGAGATGCAGACAAATTACAGAAAGATCTCACAGCCTTAGAAGGAAGGGAAAAGAAGTGGTAGATGTGCTTCCATCCTGAAAAGTGCACAGTCATTCGGATCTCCAACAAAAGACAACCACTGCAAACATCATACACCCTGCATGGACATCAGCTGGAAGTGGTGGAGAGTGGGAAGTATCTTGGTGTTACCATCTCCCAAGACCTACAGTGGAACAACCATATACACACTAAGATAGGAAAAGCTACAAGAACTCTGGGCTTCCTGAGACGAAACCTTGGCCAGTGCACACCAACAGTTAAAGCAACAGCATACTGTACCATGATCAGACCATCGATCGAATATGCGTCACCAGTATGGGATCCCTACCAGACCAACTTAACAAAGGATCTAGAGCAAGTACAACGTAGAGCGGCCAGGTTCGTCTTTAATCAGTACACGGATACCTCCCCCGGGTGCGTAACATCTTTACTTGAACAACTAGAGTGGGACTCACTCCAGCATAGGAGAACAACACATCGACTAGTCCTATGCTATAAAATAAGGAATCGCCTGGTGGACATCAACCCAGACAAGTATTATACACCCGGGGACAGAAGAACTAGAGGTAGCCATAGATACAGACAGCCTCGTGCCACCAAGGAGGTCTACAAGAATTCATTCTTCCCACGGTCGGTGAGAGACTGGAACTGCCTACCAGAGGAAATTACAGCAGCCCCTACTATACAGGAGTTCAGGACTGGACTAAACAGCGTCCCCTGGACCCAGCTGCAACCCTGGTAGACAAGACAGCCACATTGTATATAGTTTTAACCATTTTTAGTGAGGAAGCCTCCTGCTTTTAACCGAGCTGGAGTTATTAACACTCTGTATAGAGTTCAACTCCCTACCGGAAGAAGAAGAAGAAGAAGAAGAAGAAGAAGAAATATTTGATGTTTCATATAAAAAGGGGGGTGGGGGCTCTTGATCGGCAATTACACTACCAATTTTAAAAGATTCTTTTTTATTTTATAAATCTAGTTACGTGGAGAGAGTCATTGTTCCTTACATTGAGAACATAAAAGAAGAAATGGACTTGCCAGTCAGGCAGAGGGCTCTCTGTATATTTGACGTGTATAAGGCACACCGAGGAGAAGAACTAAGAGAACTACTCAAAAGCAAAAGAATTCAGTGCGTGTATGTTCCCGCGTGTTGTACTGATCAGTTACAACCGTTAGATTTGGCCCCGAATGGTGTTTTTAAACACGCTATGAAATCCTGTTTTGAAGACTGGTATGCTGAGGAATGCGCAGCACAACTGATTGACGGGTCATCTCCTCGTGATATTAACATTGACTTGCGGCTATCAAGAGTAAAACCCCTTCATGCCCGATGGCTAACAAAATCAGTAGAAAAACAAACATCTGATGTTATTAAAGCTGGTTGGCGAAAGGCTTCAATTTTGGATTGATACCCACGTACGTGAAAAATTAATCTGACTGGGATAGTCTTTTATTTCAGAAACATTTTAAATTTTCTAGAGACGTCCATTTTCGATGTGTTTATGTTTTAACAGCTAAATAATTTTGAAAGACTTTTATTATGTAAAGTGATAACCATACTTATTAATTTTATGTGATTATATTATATTTTTATAATATGTAACTGCACGTTATTTTAAAATCAAATTTTTAACACAAATGTTGACTCTGCAAACCGGAAATATTTCTTCTGCCTTCTCAGTTTTAGTTTATTTGCCAAACCCATATCCGGGTATCGTAAGGCAATGGTAAGGCAACCTTTCTAATTTGAAACATTTTATTCACAAGAACTTTATTTTCGCGAGTCGAGAGTCTCGCGAAATTACGCGTAAATAAAGTTCTCGCGTATAAAAAGTGATTTACAGTATATAAATTTAAACCACTCTTTTGAGTAAAACCAAACGAATATCAAAGACATGTTGCCCGAAGATTTCTTGAATAATGATCAACATATAATCAGGATCATAATCCTGCCTCTTATCAAAAAAAAAAAAAATAATAATAATAATAATAAGTCCACTCATTCTTTCTGCTTTTAACTACCTAAAATATGGAGGGGGGTTGTTTTTTAACATTTCTCAACAACTTAAAATAGGAAAGCTTTGAGCATATGTATTAATTAAATAATGCAGAATCCTCACATTGTATCATCACACACCCTGTTCATCCATTTTATGCAAAAATAAACATGATATTAGTACATGTAGTACCGGTAATCTAACACATTATCTCAGATAAAAAATACTACTACATCATTTAATCATATTACATGTAATAAAACAATTTTTGCTGATTTTTTAGTCAGAAAATAATTTAGCGACTTTCAAAGTACAATACATGAATTAACATTTGTCCTTCGGGCTCGGTGAATAATGTACTCCTCAGATGGCTAAATCATTGTACTGACTTCTCAAGATATTGATCATAAGATGATTGCCTCTCCATTGTCATGCTTCAAAGCATAGTTGCTGAATAACAACAGTGTTTGGCTGTTTGCTTAGCACAGTCCGCTTTCTCTTGAGGACTCGGAGGTTCATGGCAGTGGTAGTATAAACACAATTTTAAACTACTCAAGTCATCGAAAAAGTAGGTGTCAATACTAAAATGCTATAATTATTAAATCGTGGCAGCTGCAATTTTGACAATGACTCAACTGGTTTATCCATGATGTGCCACCATGGTTGGACCTTTTGTGGAGAACCCTGATGGTTCATAAGTTCTAATTTACCATTGAGACCTAACAATTCAGTACCATGTGACCATTATCTTATAAGTGGAGATTTTTACTTCAAGGACCCTATATCACTGACATTTTATCAGCTTAATAAGATCACTTTTCAAAATTATTTTTAATTAAACAATAATTAAATGCCTCAAGGATATAAATTAATGTTATTTTTTAACTCCTCCCATTAACACAAATTCACCCTGGAAATTCTCAATGTTATCTCTGATCAGACTATAAAAATCAGGCTGATCTGTAAAAAAGAAATTTAGATATGTGATAAAAACCCTTTTATGTATAGGGTGTCTAATCAGGCATTCATGCATTCTGATGGATGTGATCATAATCCTGTATCCAACTAATCCTCATCTAGTCCCTCCTTCAGTTAGTACATGTAATCTACCATGGTATTTGAGAAAAGGTCTAAGATTAAAGTACAGTTTTTGTAATCAGTAAGAATGTTAAAATTTGATTTGACTTTGTTTGACCTACTGAGTGTTTCAATTGATCATGTAGTGTTCACCTGCGAGTGTACTTGTGAAAACTCCTTCAACCTGACCTTGATCAAAATCACATCCTCATACTTTTTTTCAATTTCATATTGAGATCAATGTAATATACTTTACACATATTCAAATTTATAGAGAGATTGAGAAGGGGAGAAAGAAATGTTGACAATGATGCTGATTGATAGCCCTGCCTCCTATTAATATTGATTATGTGACCTAAAAATCACTTCGGGTACATGTCAAATTCCAGACAGTAACACTACTGTATCATTGTTTTAATTTGATTCATAGCAACTATTGGAATCACTTTGTACAAACTTTCTACCTAATATAATCATGCAGACATAGCTCTTTCTATTGTTTGTAAAATATTTTGTGGGATTCACTTTATTTATAGCTTGGTAGAGGAATTGTGAAAAGATCCAAAACATGTGCTAAGTCCACTGTGACTCATTCTTTAAAGATAAATATAAAGGAGGATTGTCAATGATGTTTAACAACATGTACCATATTTTCAATCATCTGTGTACTGATACATTGTTTCAAGATTGCTTTTTATGCCCAAGAACTTTAAATTTATACTATTTTTATCTCTGAATAAAACTCACCTCCCAGGATGACTTTGTTCATCCTGGTTTGAATTGGTTGGTGGGGTTTGTCCCAGTGATGAATTCTCTCCAGTAGACGAATCAACAACCCTCGAACTGAAAAAAAAACAATTTTCAGTTAAATACAGCCATCTCACCATATATCTCAACAATCAATGTAAAAGTGAAACACAGTTTACATTCTAAAGGAATGCTGATCAGATACAGGCAAGTTCATGATAAAAATACAAAATATATGGAAATAACAGGCCCATGGGCCACAATGTTTACCTGAATTACTTTGGCCCTGCTGTTCGTCAAAAGATCTTAACTTTGTAAAACTTTTTATGGCCCCATCCTTCCCCCAAGCCATGATGTGAATAACTAAGAATACACTACAATGGGATGCTTTCCCCAATTTTCAGCTTTTCTAGCCCAGTGGTTCTTGAGATTTTCTTACTATATTTCAAAGTAAAACTTGGATTTGCTACTGTGGTCCCACTATACCCCTGAGACCATTTTTGAAACATAGGTAATCAGAGATTACAGAGCTCACCTCAACGAATGTTGTCTTTAAGTAAGGCAAAGTCACACAATTAACCAACAAAAAGTATACATTCCAAAAATGAAAATATTTCTAAAAGCAATTTTGATCTGATACTTTGAAATAAACCTACATAAAAAATTTAAACTACTTCTTCTTCATGAAAATGTAATGAAAATCCAGCATCTGAAGCAAATTTGAGAGTTTTCATCTCTTGATGCAGCATTTGTGCAAGTTTGGTTTATACAATGTTATATAAGCCTTATAGTTTTTGGTAATAGACCTGCAACCATAACTTTTACCTTGTCTATTATCTAAAAAAAGTATGTCCAATTCAGCATCCGAAGCAAGTCCATTAGTGTGCATCCTTAGATGTATCATCCATGCAAGTTTGCTCATTATAGGGCTCATAGTTTATTGGAAATGAAACATGCATCAAAACTAACATTTTCACTCATCCACAAAAAGTAGGTCACATTCAGTTTCCCCAGCAAGCCTGGAAGTATGCATCCTTAGATGTATCATCTATGCAAGATTGGTCATTAAAGAACTCATAGTTCCTTGGAAATGAAACCTGCACCAAAAACTTTTAACTATTCACTCAACCGGAAAATGTAGGTCAGATTCAGCATCCCAAGCAAGCCCAGTAGTGTGCATCCTTAGATGTATCATCCATGCAAGTTTGGTCAACATAGGGCTTAAAGTTACTTGCAAATGAAACCTGCACCAAAAACATTAACCTGTTCGCTCAACTGGAAAATGTAGGTCAGATTCAGCATCCTAAGCAAGCCCGGTAGTATGCATCCTTAGATGTATCATCCATGCAAGTTTGGTCAACATAGGGCTTATAGTTACTTGGAAGTGAAACCTGCACCAAAAACTTTAACCTGTTCACTCAACTGGAAAATGTAGGTCAGATTCAGCATCCGAAGCAAGCCCGGTAGTATGCATCCTTAGATGTATCATCCATGCAAGTTTGGTCAACATAGGGCTTATAGTTACTTGGAAATGAAACCTACACCAAAAACATTAACCTGTTCACTCAACCGGAAAATGTAGGTCAGATTCAGCATCCGAAGCAAGCCCGGTAGTATGCATCCTTAGATGTATCATCCATGCAAGTTTGGTCAACATAGGGCTTATTGTTACTTGGAAATGAAACCTACACCAAAAATTTTAACCTGTTCATTCAACCGGAAAATGTAGGTCAGATTCAGCATCTGAAGCAAGTCGGTAGTATGCATCCTTAGATGTATCATCCATGCAAGTTTGGTCAACATAGGGCTTATAGTTACTTGGAAATGAAACCCACACCAAAAACTGCACCAAAAATGTTAACCTGCTCCAAAAACATTAACCTGGTAATTCCTTTGCTGAAATTGCAGCATATGAAACTTTGTCTGGTACAATAAAACACACTAAAACCATCTTCCATGCATGTCTAATCAGTATAGGACACAGAAGTCTGCTCCAAAAAACTTAACCTTAACCTGGGACGCCGACGCCGACACCGACACCGAGGGTATCACATAAGCTCCCCCCAACTTCGTTGAGGTGAGCTAAAAATGTAGAATCTACACTATCTAAGGATACTTCCACATTTCAGCTTTTCTGGCCCTCTGGTTCTCTCAAGAAAAGTTCTTTCAAGATTTTGCCAATGTATATCAAAGTAAAACTTTGATTTCCTATTGTGACCCAATCCTACCCCCAAAGGCCATGATTAGAAAAATTTAGAATCTGCACCACTCCAGGATGCTTAAAATTTGTTGTGTCTCTCACTTAATAATGGACATTGTTAATATCTTTCTATATATTTATTACAAATAAAAAGTCCAACTAAAGAAATGTTATTACATCCATCTAACAATTTCACTGTTGGCCTGCTAGCCCAATATGAATTGTTAAGCTGCAACACCAAAATCACAAGTAATTATTTTATTATCATTCAATATTAGTGACACAGATTTAGGCTCAAGTTTAATTAACATTACCTTGTTTCTAAGATTGGTACGGTTGTCATTTCTTTCTTCACATAACAGGCAGCATCTGCAATAGGAAACATAGGTAATGAGAGATTACAGAGCTCACCTCAACGAATGTTGTCTTTAAGTAAGGCAAAGTCACACAATTAACCAACAAGAAGTGTACATTCCAAAAATGAAAATATTTAAGCAATTTTAATCTGATTTTGAAATAGAACTACATAAACAAGAGGCTCATGGGCCACATCGCTCACCTGAGAAGCTTTGACCCCAACCTACCCCACTGATCATAATTTAAACAATTTGAAATTTACACTACCCCAGTATGCTTCCATGTAAGTTTCAGCTTTGATTTTCAGATTTTTTCACAATTATAACAATTTAGAATCTACACTACCCCAGGATGCTTCCAAATAAGTTTCAGCTTCTCTGGCTCAGTGGTTCTTGAGAAGATTTTCAAAGATTTTTCCTTTATATTTCTATGTAAAACTTTGATTCCCCATTGTGGCCCCGCCCTATCCCCGGAGGTCATGATTTGAACAATTTAGAATCTACTCTACCCTAGAATGCTTCCACATACGTTTCAGCTTTTTTGACCCAGTGGTTCTTGAAAAGAAGATTTTAAAAGATTTTTCCTTTATATTTCTATGTAAAACATTGATTCCACATTGTGGCCCCGCCCAACCCCCGGGGGTCATGATTTGAACAATAAAGAATCTACACTACCCCAGGATGCTTCCAAATAAGTTTCAGCTTCTCTGGCTTAGTGGTTCTTGAGAAGAAGATTTTCAAAGATTTTTCTTACATATTTCTATGTAAAACATTGATTCCCCATTGTGGCCCCGCCCTACCCCTGGGGGTCATGATTTGAACAATTTAGAATCTACACTACCCAAGGATGCTTCCACATAAGATTCAGCTTTTCTGGCCCAGTGGTTCCTGAGAAGAAGATTTTCAAAGATTTTTCCTTTATATTTCTATGTAAAACTTTGATTCCCCATTGTGGCCCCGCCCTATCCCCGGGGGTCATGATTTGAACAATTTAGAATCTACACTACCCCAGGATGCTTTCACATAAGTTTCAGCTTTACTGGCCATGTGGTTCTTGAGAAGAAGATTTTTTAATGACCCAACCCTATTTTTGTCTTTTCTTGATTATCTCCCCTTGCGAGGGGATATGTCCCTTCATTCTAACAATTTAAATTCCCCTTCACCCAAGGATGCTTTGTACCAAGTATGGTCGAAATTGGCCCAGTGGTTCTTGAGAAGAAGTCAAAATGTGCAAAGTTTACAGACGGACGGACGGAGGGACGACGGACAAAATGTGATCAGAAAAGCTCACTTGAGCCTTCGGCTCAGGTGAGCTAAAAATTTAAACTAGTTCTGCAAATTTGAGAGTTTTCATCTCTTGATGCAACATTTGTGCAAGTTTGGTTTATACAATGTTATATAAGCCTTATAGTTTTTGGTAATAGACCTGCACCCATAACTTTTACCTGGTCTATTATCTGAAAATGTATGTCCAATTCAGCATCCAAAGCAAGTCCATTAGTGTGCATCCTAAGATGTATCATCCATGCAAGTTTGCTCATTATAGGGCTCATAGTTAATTGGAAATGAAACATGCATCAAAAACTAACATTTTCACTCATCAACAAAAAATAGGTCAGATTCAGCATCCGAAGCAAGCCCAGTAGTATGCATCCTTATATGTATCATCCACGCAAGTTAACATAGTTACTTGGAAATGAACTTTAACCTATTCACTCAACTGGAAAATGTAGGTCAGATACAGCATCCGAAGCAAGCCTGGTAGTACATACATCCTTATATGTATAATCCATGCTAGTTTGGCCAACATAGGGCTTATAGTTACTTGGAAATGAAATCTGCACCAAAAACTTTAACCTGTTCACTCAACCAGAAAATGTAGGTCAGATTCAGCATCCCAAGCAAGCCCTGTAGTGTGCATCCTTAGATGGAAATGGAGTGTTTATGCATTTAATTCATATTAAAATAACGCATGCTTCAAAAGATAGAAACTTAGATAAACAGTAATCATAATCAGGTATTGCAAGCTCAAACACCATGCTTGATTAATGTGTTGATTGCATTGTTTTCATCTATGCGATATACTACATTAATGTCTTTAACCATATCATTACACCCCTAAGCTTCTAAGGAGAAGAAAGTAAACCAACATTGGGTATTATCTGCCGAGTTGTATTCCTTGACAGCACAAGATAGACCAGGGGTGGATTCACAGTCTGTCTCATCCACATTTCCACTTCCATATGTATTGAAGTATGCACATTTGCCTACAAATTTAAATACGATCTATATAGACAAATATACTTGAATTGATAAATAAATGAAATCTAAGAATTTAAAACAAGAGGTCCATGGGCCACATCCCTCACATGATTAATTTTCAAGATGCCGTTTTTTCTTACCAGAACTTCCTCCTTTTAATACCTATTGTGGTCATATACTCCTCTCCCCCTGGGGTAATGATTTTAACATTTTAGAATCTACACTACCCCAGGATATTTCCACATAAGTTTCAGCTTTACTGGCCAAGGGGTTCTTGAGAAGAAGATTTCTAAAGATTTTGAGATATATATTTCAAAGTAAAACATGGATTCCCTATTGTAGCCCCGCCCTACCCCCGGGGGTCATGATTTTTACAAATTAGTATCTACACTACCATGACTACCCCAGAATGCTACCACATAAGTTTAAGCTTTTCTGGCCCAATGGTTCTTAAGAAGAAGATTTTTTAATGACCCCACCCTATTTTAGTATTTTCTTGATTATCTCCACTTGTAAGGAGACTTGGGCCTTCATTTTAAGAAGTGAAACTCCCCATTACCCAAAAATACTTAGTACCAAGTTTGGTTAAAATTGGCCCAGTGGTTCTTGAGAAGAAGTTGAAAATTTGAAAAATTTATAGACGGACAGACAGCCAGCTAAACAGTTGGACGACGGACAACAGGTGATCAGAAAAGCTCACTTGAGCTTTCAGTTCAGGTAAGCTAAAAATAAGTAGTAAGAAGTAGGCATACCTTGTATGCTTACTTCTAACAACAGTTTTACTTGTAAATCTTATGGCTGAAATATCTTATTAACAGCATGAAAATTATACATGTACATAGGCATGCAGCAGCATGTATCACTATTTTTCATATAAGAATACTCAGCAAGTTATTAAAGTTGGGAATTAAAATTTAAAAAGTCGTACATGTATAAGATATGGGGTGAATATGATGTACGTCCCTAAGACAAAAAACATCAAAATCATTTCTACCTTTTGGAATCCACTTCCACTCTCTGCATACTTCATACTCCACAGTCTTATTCCCATCCAGAAGACAGTGATATCTCACATCTTTCCCAGTGCATGGTAGACGAGTCTGGTAACCTGTTACTTTGATGATCTCCTGACATGTGGTGGTATCGTTCACTACTTTGTATGGCTGGTCTATACCAAACCCTTCACGTAACACCAGCAGTATCATCCAAAACCAGATTAGCATACTGGTATTTTTCTGTTGTGTAAAAGCTTCCTTCTGTTATCAAGAAAAAAAAGATCTAACATTATATTTCCAGAGCAAAAAATGAAATATGTACATAAATACATGTAATTATGTGGTACATGTATTGTAATAGAAAATTAAGTGTTTCTAGCAAATGTTTTTTTAAAAGTCATCATTTGTGTGTCTTCAAACTTGTACTATGAACACAGGCCTTAAATTAGCTCACTTTGAGGGGAGACAAGACACATGTCACATGACTCAAATGACATGCTTAATGTTGTTAAAATCAACAGCTCTTGTGTAATTTTTATTTTAAAATTGTTTTTTGTTTCAACATTATTGAAAATTAAGAGTTTAAAGATTTCGCCAACATGTACATGTATTTATTATGACAATGCTTAATCCAATCATCCGTTTCTCTTTATGCTGCAGAATAACGTCAGTGACTTCAGTGACATTGTGTTTGAATTATCAGTGCAGTGAGATCAAGTATGCATTGGTTAATGGTTACATCCATCACGGTCAGTTTTATTTCATAATTCACAGTAAAACAGGTCACAGTCAAGGCATCGTTATGGATTTTTGAAGCATTATGGATTTTAAAAAAAAATGATGAATATCCTGAAATGTTTAAAAATATAGTTTTATCTAATATATTTATCATCTGTGCGTAAAAATTTGCATTATGGACTCGGTAATGGACCCATAAACATGAATAATTGCAACTTGATGCGAACACTATACAGGTCGGTATTTGTGATGCAATACCTTTTATATAAGACAAGAAATCTAGTGACAGGACCATTTTAAAATATTAAAGACATAATATATTAGTGTATGTATTTTGAGTATGATTTGTTTTTATTGGTGTGTCTGATTACACTCGAGAAAATAATGCCCAGTTCACATGGAGAGTTTCATTCGAATTAAATGTAAAGTTACTGCGAATTGGCTTTGCTTGGCGTTCACACCGAGAATTAATGCTAATTAGTTTATTTCTAATTAGTTTACTGCGCATTAAATTACTTCTCATTAGCTCTGTGTGAACGCTAAGCAAAGCTAGTTCGAATTAAATTTTGACGCATGCATAAAACCCTAATTAAGTCAGAGGCCACAAGTCAGTAGTTAGATTTATATATCTGTGCTATTTTTGGTTGAAATATAAAGGAAAATTATTAATCACTACCCACGGTAAATTGTATATATTTTGTCAGATGGATCTGCTCAACACACGACGTGAATTACAAATGACATCATAATAGCCTTACTGAATAGCCATATTGTAGAGACAAAATTTTAATTCGCTTTAGCTGTTGAGTGAATGCAATTTAATTTGCATTATTTTACTTTGCATTAGTTTACTTTGCATTAATTTACTGCAAATTAAACTCTCTGTGTGAACGGGGCATAAAAATCAAAAGTCACTAAAATCGACATGTTTGAAAGTTATATTTACTGTAAATAAAAAGACTGAGCATGTGTTTAAGGTATATATACAAAAGTTTCCATCTCATATTTCAGGGGATGCCTTAATTGATCCACACTTGATTCCAATCAATATCTACATATTTTTTCTTCCGATGTGCATGTAAGGTGACATCTACCTTCAAAAATGATTGAATAATGCCCTTCAATCGTTTGTCAATTTAAATCTCTTTATACAGTATGTAAAATAACATTTTCAAAGAGTGCCAATTTCAGCAACTTTTGATTTTATTATAATGAGTGTAATAAGACATACACAGAGAGCAAATTGATTTGTCTACATAAGAGTACACCTAGTGTAGACAATTTACAATAAAAATGCACTTTTCGATCAAGTGAAATTGGGAGAGGTGCAGCATATTCAATATGGAGATTAAAATTAATTTCATCCAGCTATTTGCTAGGATTGTGAACAATTTCTTAAATTCATTTAAAAACAAAATATTTTATGAAAAGGCAAAGAATTTTATAGCCACCCATGTATAACCTATATAACTAAAAATCTAGCCATACTTAAAATTATTTCCGGTAAATGATGAATTAGTCAAACTTGCTTATTTTTTTTATTATTTTTACAAAATACCAAGTGTTTCATTTTTCAATAAAATGTATAGAACAGGGAGTTAAATCACTAAACACATAATCACAATCATTTTATCAAATACTTGACTCTAATATCAACATGATCAAATACAGAAGAAAACTCTGCAGTTTTACAGTCTCAACATTTTTTTAATGCACTGCAGCAGCCATAATGGGCAAGCTTGATTAAGCTTAACTCGATGTACAGGTCCTTGTAAAAAGTGGCAATGTATAATCAAGCCCATTTTACGAGATGCAGTGTACATGGTTACCATTTGTTTTGTATCTTTCTAGTGTGTGTCTGAATATTTTTTTAAAGTGAAAAAAATATAAAATGCATTAACAGGTCAAGACCACTACCTTATATGGAAGGCAATTTTCAACACGTGATGATGTCTTAAATGTCACACTCATTCTCCAATCAAGTGAATGAGTCCCAAAGCATGACAGTCTACTATGTGTTTACAATTCAATGGCAGAACGTGGTTTTTGTCAGTGTACTGCACAATATTTAACTTGTCACCGGAAAAACTGTAGAGCTTCTTGATCACTTTATAAGACCAAAATTGAAAGATTATATTCTAAAGGCATTGCTCCATGCTCACATTTAATATTGGAGTTGTTTTAGATGATTAATAGTGGCTTCTAATACCATACAAATGCTTTGACATTTGCATGTCCATAAAACACTTTCTGTTAATAATGAGGCGTTAAATAATAATTGCACACTTTCTCCTGTTGTCTAAAACCAAGGACCTATATACTACCTGTTAAAACTATGTACACCTATATCACGTGGAAAGCTCAATGTTTTATTGACTCAAAAGCACCTATGTCTCTTTGAACAATGGGGTTAGGCCGATGTATTATAAGTTGATATAAGGCTTCATATGCAAATTTTGTAAATGTGAGCATAGAAACAAAAGATTATACATAATTTTAAATATTTCTTTCCCAGATCTCAAGAAACCAGAAGTCTCTGTCGAGACTGAAGCTCTACTGGTTTGAACTAGGAATAGAAAAGTACTTAAGCAGCTGGGATTTGAAACTTTACAACAGCAATAAATAGAATAATGATCGTTGATAAAGTCTCTTTATGTTCTTAGTGTAGTCTACTTGTGTGCCAAGTTATATTGAAATCAGACCAAAACTGTAGGAGTAGTAGCATTTTGAAGCAATTTTACAGACATTCCTATTTTTAGTAACCACGGCAACACAGTTCATCAAAATTAAAATTCGATATACAGAATTATGTATCTTAGTGTATTCTACTTGTGTGCCAAGTTATACTGAAATCAGACCAAAACTGTAGGAGGAGTAGCATTTTGAAACAATTTCACAGAAATTTCTATTTTTAGTAACCACGGCAACACCGTTCATCGAAATCAAAAACCGATACACAGAATTATGTATCTTAGTGTATTCTACTTGTGTGCCAAGTTATACTGAAATCAGACCAAAACTGTAGGAGGAGTAGCATTTTGAAAGAATTTCACAGAAATTTCTATTTTTAGTAAACACGGCAACACCGTTCATCGAAATCAAAAACCGATATACAGAATTATGTATCTTAGTGTATTCTACTTGTGTGCCAAGTTATACTGAAATCAGACCAAAACTGTAGGAGGAGTAGCATTTTGAAAGAATTTCACAGAAATTTCTATTTTTAGTAACCACGGCAACACCGTTCATCGAAATCAAAAACCGATACACAGATTTATGTATCTTAGTGTAGTCTACTCATGTGCCAAGTTATATTGAAATTAGACCAAAACTGTAGGAGGAGTAGCATTTTGAAAAATTGTTTACAGACAGACGGACAGACAGACGGACGGACGCCGGACGCATTACTATCGCATAAGCTCTTCTGGTCTCTGACCAGTAGAGCTAAAAATCGAAAACAAGTTCCCTAAGAACAATTCAAGTTGCTCTTTATTTTCAACACAGCTGGGTTCTTGTAGTAGCCCACAATTCATTGTGGCTCATTCAACTGTAGGTAAAGTAAACAGATACAGTAAAACTCAGTTACAGCGAAGTCCTTGGGACCTGTGGATTTAATTCGCTATATCCGTATAACAAAATTCGTATAACTATAATTATATATATAGCGAATTCTCATTATGCATGTTTTCCTTCAACAATTTCTACCAAATATACTAGGGAAGCAATTTTTACAAAACATACTTGAAATAAGTGACGATTTAATATATAAATTGAATTTTGTATACAAATACTTAATGAAAATAAAATACATGTATGTTCAAAGTATAAAATTTTGAGATCTTGGAAAATTTGTTATAAGATTTAAATTACATTATTTTTAATGTCTAAGGGACTCAAGATCAGTTGGCTATATCCATAAATTCGCTTTATCAATGTTCGTTATAACCGTAAAATTTTACAAAGAATTGTTAAGACTTCGTTATATCCGTGAATTCGCTATATCCGTGTTCGTACTAAATGAGTTTTACTGTAGCTAATTAACATGCAAATTTATGTGGATGTCAGAAAATCTAGTGGTCTCGACCTGATTACCCTTGCAGAATATTCCTGAGATGTCCTAAGAAATCTTAAGATAATCCTAAGATTTATTCCTTTACTAAAGTACCGGTATTGACTAAATTAAATAAGATCGTTACAGAATAATTTAAATATCATCGCATACCGGTACAAACAAAAAACAGCTTGAATATGATTTCTTATTCTTAAGATTACATAAAATCATTTCTTAACAAGAGATATTTGAAAACACTTATGCACAGTCCCCCTCCCCCAACTAATTGGAATTCTTCTAAGTCAAAGGGGCATAACTCTGTCCAAAAGGGCCTGATCGTACCTAAAAACAAAACTTGACCTAAATGTTCTTATGATATATCTGTATACAAAATTTCATTTCAATATGTGCAACCTCTGTGAAGAAAATGAACAGAAACAGCAAATTATTTGAATTTTTCTCAGTCTAAGCGGCATAACTCTGTCAAAAATAATATGATTGTACCAAAAACAAAACTTGACCTAGATATTTTTATGATAAATCTGTATACATAATTTCATATCAACATGGACCTATGGCATATACAATGTAGGTCAATGAAAGGAAAGTGATGGTGGACTTAGCTGCAGAACTGTAGCTCTCCGAAAAAATTAATTAATTGACAGACCGGAGAGCTACAGTGTCACACATTGAAAAAAATTGTTTATTTATTGCGCACAAAGAGTTGCACTCGCTTGGTTCTGGATTAAATATTCCAAATTTTTACCTCAATTGCAAAGAAGCTAGATTTAAAAAAAAACCTAATACTCCTCTATAAAAGAATTGTAGTTTACATTTGCAAGAAGTGTATTGGACCAAATTATTATCTTGGAAACCAAAATGGCAGTTTAAATAGATGAAATTTTCCAAGATCTCAATTTCAGAGCAAGTGTGGGTCATTCTACAAAAGGACTAATGACTTAAGACCAAATTCAATTCTTCATATAACTTTTTAATGAACATTATATCGAAAATTAATTTACCTTTTTTAAGGAATGTGGTAAGATATTTTTACAAAAACAATTTCAAAGAAAATTATTAATTTTGCAAAAGTTTACAATGATCTGAAGTTTTTGGTCTTAGTCGTAAGTTCTTTTGTAAAACACCTGGGGGGGGGGGGGGGGGGGGGGGGGGGGGGGGGGGAGGGGGCTATTAACAAAAATTATATGGAAGGTTTTGTGGTGGGAACAGTGAAAGAATATGTCAAGAATGCACGGTTAGTAAAATTTTGAGATGACAGGTTTAAGAACATGCATGCCATGGAGAAATAAATCGAGAAACAGCTCACTTTTTTTGTGTGCAATAAATATACAGTTTTTTCAGTGGGTGGCTCTGAAGCTCGCCCATGTCAATATAATATTTTTTTTGGAGAGCTACAGTTCTGCAGCTATGGTGGACTGACAGACAGACAGACAGCAGCAAATCAGTATGCCCTTCCTTCTTCGAAGTGCCGGTAGGTCATACTCATAATGCATATATATTGTATCGTTCTCCACCATATTCTCTCCTCCCGTAACGTTGAGTTATCATTCTTAGCAAGAGTTATCTGTTCCTTATAGCAGGTATCACAAAACTTCCGGTTTCAGAGCAAACGTTGCGGGTGACTAAAACTGGTCTAAAATGTTCATTTTTTAAGGAATTAAGTTAAACTAGCGAGTCTGAAGTTCGTCTCTGGAAAAATGTTTGATCTGATACAATTTATTAAATTTTAAGATTTGACCGAAACACAAAATTTTACAATCTAAATGCATATACCACATTGGCCAAGTTTTGGCAAGAAAAAAATGACGATATTGGAAATAAAATGTGAGATATGAGAGTGTTGGAATATATCTCTGTGAATTATGTTGAATAATTAAGGCATCTAATTTCCACAATATTCTTCGCATAAAAGATTAGTCTTCGCTTAATAGGAAACTGATTACGTAAAAGAAAGGAAATGTCAATTTTAAAAGCAAGCATCCCTGCAATTAAATTGGCTTATACCATAGGCGTCGGAACCGGGGGAGGGGGGGGGGGGGGGGGGGGGGGGCTAGGGGAGGCTTAGCCCCCCCACTTTTTTTCCAAATATATACTTAGTATATACATTAAACCTTGCTTTTTAGGTTTAGCCCCCCCCCCCCCCCCCCACTTTCCACAGATACGTCTTAGTATAGGTTAAAAATGGGGAAAGTGGTGGTGTCTGGAAGAAAATTTTTGGGTAGTGTAGTTCGAACCTACCCCCCCCCCCCCCCCCTTCCCGGTTCCGACGAATAGTTCTCTTATAAAAATAAAAGTCGGAACCAGACCCCTACCACACCTCATGAAATAGGCACAGTAACAACTAATTCATTAAGGTAGAACATTAATCATAAGCTAGAGCCAGTTCAATTTATGGTTCAAGAGGCACATATACATATATACAAGTATATATATATCTATTTGATGAAGCAAGGAGGGATTGGGTATAGCTAAAGAGAAAATGGGCCAGACCAATTTTGAAAAAATGACTTTAAAAATCTCCATGGTTGTTTAGAAAAATTTTCTAGACCAAAGGATTTTTCCAGCAAATTACATAAAACAATATTCTAAAATATGGTCATGTCATACCTTGTTTGAGTGTAAAAAAATATTTTCAATACCGGCATGTCAATTACTTATTATGATCCTGTTCATTCAAGTTTGACTACGAAATGAAAATTACTAACATTCCGACATAAATGATTCCCTGTACTTTATTCTCATATCATGCATTTATGTGCATGTCAACAGGAATACTGTTTAAAAATCAAAAAATTTACCAACACTATTACATATCAAGGAGAAGCTATATCTTTATCGTTTCCATATCCAATATGCAAGTCCATAGTGCCCCCCCCCCCCCTCCAGGAATGACTGGTCATTTGCTGCTTATCAAGTATCGAAGTTCTCATTCATAGGCAGGTTTGCAGGTCCTCCTTCCCCTCCGCACTATTGTTGCAGTATGGTATTGTACTGGATTTTCTTTTACGGAAAACGATTGAGAACAGCTAGAAAACCACCTCGACCCCCCCCCCCCCCCCCCCCGGGTTGAAATATGTTCTTCGTTTTTTGATAGTTTTCAGCATGTTCAGTTTTCCCTAAACTATTTTTAAAAATCATTTTAATTTTATTTGCTTGTCTTTTTTATTTGCCTTTTTAATATTTTCCCACCCACCCCCTTCTTTCCTTTGAAGAGCGACGCTTCGACTACATGTCTGATACTTAATTCGTTCGGTCAAACCTAAATATTTATCATTACATTTCATTACATTTTCCGAGGGATGACCTTCAAACACTTGGAACAGAAAGCTGAATTAAAAAAACAACATTTAGACACATTGTCATTTATAACATTCTTTTACCTCATTACCGGAAATTTTACAATATCTGCTCTTAGGAAAGATAACTCGTGTTAAGAACGATAACTCGAGTTTACGAGAAGAGAGAATTGGTGATGTACTAATCAAGTTCACCCAATATTATAAAAAAATGTACACCAAAGGCCTGTTCAACAGAGTGAACATTCACAAGTGCCCGCCAAATTTTTAATATATTCGATCAGTGCATACTATTTATGCAAGATATATTACTGTATTCAGCGGCGGCTCACACAAATTGGTCCGACCAAAATAGTTCCATCATGATAAGTAGATACAACATTATTGTTCATGATAAGAGTAAAGTTGTGTATGTCATACGTTAAAGAAATCAAAAATAACGTTAAAATATTATTAGAAAGTCACTTTCCCCCCGAAATGCAAATAAAAAATATCAATATTCCTACGCTCGCTCCCTCCTCAGCCTTTTTTTTTTTTACATGTTTGATAACAGAGAATATTTAGGTCATTCTTCGATTCATATCTTTTCACCGATGAATTGATAATACTATATCAACAATTGTATTAAGTACATGTTCATAGTCCGTTAATTATCATACAATTTCTTCTTAAAGAAAAAAAATTATCATTCTGTGTGTATGTATTATTAAATGACGGAATTTTTAATCCCTGGCTGGATTCTGCTCGTGTGTACACTTTGTAAACTGTAGGGTATGTGTGGCAAAACGAGAACTGGGTTGGAGATTCAGGTTCGTGTTGAAGTTCAGCATACCATTTTATATAGAACTTGAATAATGTAAGTAATTTCTGCGACGAATTCATTAGTATATTTAAGTTATTTTCAAAACAAAAAAGGTTTTCAGTTTAGAATTTTCCTAACCCGGCCATTTTATATATATATAGTTCAACAGGGATTGTATAATTTTTATACATCAGAATTCGTATTCATATGATCTAATTAAGAAAAGAAAAGTTTTGTCTGCCATCGTAACTTCTCAGCATTAAACAAAACGTGTTTCTCCGAGCTCGCTGGATGCATTTGACAGCTCCATCGCACGTGTGTAGACCAAGGCTAATGTTGGTCTTGCGGACACAGGTACATGTAGGCCTATGTGTACTGTTTGTTAGGAGACTGGGTGACCGTAATGCTATGGACTCACGAAATTTACAACAGTTCCATAATTAGACAGTGCAGTTTTTTTTTTATTAACGTCATTATAAACACTGTTAAACATATGAAATCTAAAAGTCGAATATCTTTGGATATATGGGGTAACCCATATCTATTCTTGTTATAAGGAATTTTGGCCCATTATGTTTGCGAGCGCTTGCTGTGTATCAGGTGTATAGAACAGACCTCAGGTGTATGGTGTAGACAAATAAAGCACGCCCATGGTGTTGATGGTGTACACCGAAGGCGTATGCATTTGGTAATTAAAAAGCGTACAACGGGTATTGTAGAAGACAAATCAAGCGTGCCCAGAAAAAACATTTTTCTTTGTTTAGCCAGAGGCAGCTTTTATATGTCTCTGGTTTAGACTAACAAACGCTTTTCAAAAAAGTAATTTATCGCAAAAGCAACCTACCCATTTCATTTTCAATATATAACAATAAATTGTAAATGTAAGTCATCAGCAATTGCGATTCCACCCTCGGCACCCGCTTTTGCTTTCGCCAGTTTAGGAGGGAAAAACCAATCTGCCTACTTTCGCTTTCAACAGTTCAACAGTTTTACAGGTGTCGAGATGAAGCACACCGTCACGTCACTGTTCAGATATGATAAAATGATAATAGAAGAAGCTGGATTTCGGTTTCACTTCGTTAGGGCTAAAAGTCTTCAGTATTTTCAGTCCCTTTCCGTGGTATTTTCTATTTTAAATCAATAAATGGAGGAGGGGGGCGATTTTCTCCTACATTCTGTATTTTTCCATGTTCCGTACTTCTTTGGAACACATTCCTATTTCCAAATTCCTGTCTTATTGTTTCAACAAAAACACTGAACAGGCATGAAAGTTTGCTTGAAACGAAACAGTTAAAAACAAAAAAGAACTGTTTTCCGGATATGTGTTTGCATTGGTTTTCTTTTATACATGCCAGAGAGGACTTCCTACATGTGTTAATAACATTTTCTGAATGCACGTGGTGAATATTTTTAGATAATCCTGTGATTTTTATAATTATTTTGTACACTTGAATCCAAAAATGGGCAGAAAAAGAGATCCAACACAGGTAGTAAAATCTGGACCAGGCAGAAAAGCCCGAAAACAGCAGCCACCTACTTTTAAGGGTCTATTAGAAGGTATGTGCTATAATTCTCTACAGTACTGAGATTTACTTTAAATATAGATCTGAAACATAGACAGACCTTGTAATTTTGATAAATATTTTAGGTAAAAATGTTCTTTTTGTCTTAATTAACAAAAACATTAAAAAGAATCAAATACTGATTTTTTTTTCCGTTTTCCAAAGCATTTTTGCTAACCAATGGTCACTACCTCCTCATAAACCCTTGGCGTATGGTCCTGACAAAATAAGGGATTGTTTCATATGATCACAATTCCAACCGTATGCACAGATTGCATCATTGACAAAAATAATCAAAACACTGATACAATATAGCTGCTGACAATATAGCTAGCATCTTCGCTAGCCAATTGTTTCCGATCCGATACTTACTCTACAACTTCGCAGCCAATCAAATTCGTTTGCGCAAGTTTTAAAATTTTCAGCCAAATCCGCCAAGGGTTGTAGAATAGGTATCGGACTGGAAACCCTTGGCTAGTGAAGATGACAATATAGCTGCAGAATTGTAGCTTTATGGTTTAATTTATATATTACTCTTTCACCACGTTACTACTGATCCCATAATGCACAAAATGTGCTTCATTCCCAAATTCCAGACACATTCTTAAACCAATTTGTATGTTTTAACCCTTTATATTGCCTCTACAGGGGATAAACTGGCTTGATTTGAATTGTCTGGGAAAATGCTGAAAATTCTAATTCAACCGAGTTTATCGCTTGAAAAATGACTATAAAGGTTAGGGAGGTGTGTAAAATACTGTAGAGTACTTTTTTCGTGGGGTCATAGTTCCGCCGAATTTCAATTTCTGTTTAATCCGTGGAAAGAAAATTATGTGGATTTTTTCTAGATTGTCACTATATGCCTTACATTTATATTAAGTACCCTTGGACAAATTACCCCAGAATATTTGTGACCGCGTACATAGCGTAAATTAATACCACGCAGAAAAAAGTACTTCTACAGTATACAGATAAATTATTTAAAAACCTGTCTATAAATATGGAGGGAAATTAAGATATTGGATGGCACCATATAGCTTTTCAAAGAATGGCATATGGTATCTAACTTATCTTATCATGCTTATGGATCATTGTTTACGTGTGCTTCTCATCTCCTAAGATTAAAGAGTCAAGATATATCCTGAACCCATTTACGAAAAACAATTATTGCTGATTGGTCAGACAATGTCAATCAACTCCAATCACAACTTGAGAGAAAAAAACAAATTTTTTTACACTGTTGTCCTAGGAGAGTAGCTCTTCAGAAAACTGTGGCTAGCAAAGATGTCTGGGGATCCAAATATCAAATTGTTGCACTCCTATCATTGTACAGTCAGGGGCATAACTCAAACAAGTTATTTTCAAAAATAACTCAAATGAGTTATTTTACATTATTTCACACACACAAATTTTTTTTTGAAAAATAACTTAAATAAGTTATTTTTATATCCTACTTGGACATTGATTTCTTGGAAATTTCGTGTTTCCTGCCAATTTGCATTGCATTTTGGGGTTCCATTATGTAATACTAGATGGAGTTCAACGACTCCAATGGAGTACTGGTGAGGAGGTAGTGATAAACAGCATTTTACTCCTTATTTTGTGGTTTTATCCACATGGTGTATTTTTTATGTCCAAATTTAATCATTAAATAAAAAAAATTACCCACTTTTCCCAAGACTTTGAACACTTTTTCTGCATTGAGCAAGGTTTATATTTAGTCAAACATTTGTTTTCGTCTTGGTTCACGAGCAAAAACCTTTGGTGCATGGGGTGTGAATTTAGGGAGGAATAACACAAAATAACTTAAATAAGTTATTTATTTATTGAAGCTATTTTGGAAACATAACGTGTTTGAGTTATTAAGGTTGGGAAAAAGTAGGTTTTAGCAAAGAGAAGTAACTCATTGAGACAAAAAAATAACTCATTTGAGTTATTTTTGAAAATAACTTGTTTAAGTTATGCCCCTGACTGTTGTAAGGAATATGCCAATCACATCATCTTAGGCCTCTCTGTGTGAGGTTGAAAAAAAAACCTTGGATATTTAACATCACTGGATGTAACAGGGTTTGACTCAACTTTAATAACTTGTACTAGACCAATCAGACTACTTTTGATATTTTAATTAGCCCCTGACCATAAAATCACTAGCCCTAACCAAACATGCAAACTTGTTTATTTTAATCGACAATTTTAATGAGATAACCTCTGAACCCATATTTAAAAAAGACATCTTCTGTGCATGTCAACATTTTTGACAGACTGCTATATGTTCAATAGTTCCAAGCCAATTGAGTTATCCAAGTATTATAAGCCTTGAAGAACATATATGATTATCTTAAATATTAATAAATTTAAATCTGAACTATTAATTTTTTTTAGTAACCATATTGAATGATACTAAGTGATATTAGATTCAACTGACTTTTCAATTACTGCCATGACTTTAAATAGCAATAATTTTGTTTATGCTGAGAATTTTTTTCTCCTTTATGAGATATTTAGACACTTATCTACAGAAGTATGATGAGACATGGAAAGTTATTCCCATTGCTCATTGCCTGTATTATAAGTGCAGGTTGATAAATGTTTTTTGTCTCTTTTTTTATACCTAATGTTTTTTTTTTTTTTTTTCATTTTTCATTTTTTTTTAAATTTGGATCACCAAAGTTGATTTATAATTATGACAAAAATACATTCCTTAACCAGTATAAAAACCTTTGTGTGTATATAATTTTTAATAAAACTTCCTCCTAAATTTCAGGTCTTCAGCTGCTTCTTTGTTACTTTTTCAGTTTTAATTATTGCAAGCCAAAGGTTTCCATTCTTTTTTCAAAAAAGAATCTATAATATTAAACATTGCCTCACAAAATATTGTATCTAAAAAAGAATGCCTACTTCACACCTATACATGTATTTAATTATTAAGATATAGAAATTGTAAAGTTATATTGTTATTTCATTTGCAGACTCTACAGAAACAAAAAAATTAAGCAGTAGACAGAAGAAAAGGTAAGCTGTATAATTTGTTGCTGTTTATTTTTACTGGTGAGTCCAGAACAGCTTATGCAAAAGTAAGGTACTGGTCTTTGTCTGCCTGTAAAGAAAAATACTCCTCATACAATTTTGGTCTGATTTAATGCACAGATCTGGAGGGGGAGTCTTGACCTTTCTTCCTGAAATTTGCAGAGTAATTAAAATTCATATACTAAACCAATTGCAGACCTTCATTGAAAACTTGGTTTTGTGTTAAGTTGGTATGAAAAGACATAGGTATGAAGCTTTAGAAGTCAACAACTACAACTACACCCCCCCCCCAAACTCCAAGTACTACTCTTTTCTCCTTTGTTTTGAAATACATGTACTTGGAAAAAAATTATTTGCACAAAAAGGCATGATGTAAGATTAGTCACATTTATAAAGAAAGATTCTCAAACACAGATTCAAATTTACCCCGGTATATCAGGAAAGGATGAAGTACATGACTGTATATGACTGGAACGGGAATCGAACCCAGGACCCCTGCATTAATACAGTCAGGTACTCTACTAACTGAGCTACCCAGGCTGATATCCATGACCCAAACCATTCCTCCCTCCTTCTTAAATTGTTTTTGTCCTTGAGAACACAATGAAACTTCTTATTTGCCCCTAGCAGGACTTTCACATGCAAGTCCAGGGATGGTCAGTGGCACCAAATCTGTAACAGGTATTCCATGAGGGTACACAATATCAATGTTTAAAAAGTAGATGCAAAAATTAGAGTAAAATTCTAATATCTATTCGTGTAATTTTAGATTGAAAAAACGGGACTTAAAGAAGCAAGAACTGCTTACAAGAAAAAGAGAAAAAGAAGAAAGTTTCCTGAAACTGAAGGCCCAAAAGCAACTCAAAAATGAATTACAGAAAAAGCAGTCAGTTCCAAACAAAGACAATAAGAGCAGCCAAAATACTGATGGAAGAAAGAGGAAGCTGGTGACAGAGGAATCGGATGAGGAAGAGGAAGAGGAGGACGAGGAGGAGGACAGTGGTTAGAGATTCAGATTTAGTATTTTAAAATATAGCATGTTTTGACTACACTTTACTTTTACGTCTGGACAATACATAGGGACTTTTTTAAATTCACAGAGAGTGATGGATTTCAAGTGATTATATATCATCATTATGTATATATTTAATGTTGAGAACAAACATTTTTTGTAAAGATAGACTTAAGTCCAAACTTATTTTTTAAATCATTCTTAACAGTGAAAATGTTAAAGCCATATTATAAAAATAATTAAAATGTGTAAACAGAACAGAGCATATTCCAGAAAACAAAAAATACTAATTATTTTATAGTATTTTTTGCAAAATAAAAAGAATATATGTTTTGCATTTTTACAAAATTAAGTTAAACATTTCACCAGCCACCCAGTCTGAGAGTGAATTATTGGATTCAATTTTTATGTGCATTGCTAAAAAATGTTTTTTTTTTAAATGAAGCTGATGAAGATGACATGGAAGATGATGATGATGAGAGTGAAGATGAAGAAGAACAAGTCAGTGAAGATGAAGAATCTGATGATGAAGATATCGAAGGATACACTGATGATAATAAACTATGGTTAAAACCTTCCAATCGGAATAAGGTACGTTTTCATGACTAATTATGAATCTCAAAACAAGGAAAAGCAGAGTATAATTGAACAAATTGAACATGTGAGGAGCTTTTTAACCTGATATCATCCAATTCTTGTGCTAATTCTTTAATGATTTGAGTGAAACTTTTAATTTTTATGTGTCTGTGCATCATTACAACAGGATGCTGAAGACAGTGAATCTGAAGGAGAAGAAGAAAGTGATGATGATATGGCTGATGAATTTGATAGTGATGATAGTGATGAAGAGGAGGAGGGGGGAGATGAAAGTGATGAAGGGGTAATCATCCTTTACTTTATATTTGACATGTTCACAAATTTCTCCGTAATGGCTTACTATTTTGGAAACTTGCATATCTTATGGCAATTTCTAAGTTAACACTTTAAATTCAAAATTTTGTTTTTAGTGGTAAGAAAACATACAGAAGCAGAATTGATGAAAATTTATATACTCATTTGGGTTTTATATTCACCATTAATTTGTTCATACTTGTAGTTTTATTGAAAAAAAAAATATAGAGAACATTAATGATTTATATATTTTTTAGATGTTACCCATAGAAAAAGCTGCAAAGAAGTTAAATAAAAAGCAGGAGAAAGAGAGGTAAGGTTTCTACACAGAGAGGATTTGGTTACAATGCGGATTGTAATGAAATGTTTGATATTTCTTGTGAAGTATTTTAAATTTATATAACGCCCTTCCTGTGTTATAGAATTTGATCACATGACCGACTTCATGTCATACCCCAATGAAACCCTACAATTGATGTTATTTCTTAAGTATTATTTTGATGTTTTAAAGTGTGATGTAGAAAATTATGATTAATTATAATTGTATATCATATACTTAATATGACTTTAACATCTATGAACTACTAATTTACTGAACAGAAAACTGGCAGAAGCAGAACTTCAGACCAACATATCAGAAATGGAGAAGTATACTCTGCCCAGTGGACAGGAAATCGAAAAAGAAAATATCCTTTTCTGTTCTCAGTGATATGTATTTCTTGGATCAATAAGGATTTCAATTAATGTGTAGTACAAAATGATGTACAGAATTGTTTTATAAAGAAGAGTCTATATATAAGTTATTGGTCTTATAAAGAGAATTTCAACCTTCCATTACACAGAAAAGGTTCATTCTGACATGGAAGAAAAAAAATGGTAATTTAATTGGAAAATTGGAAACAGTACATTTATATGCTCTCTGTCCTTAACATGTTTACGCCAGCAAATGCCAGACCTGCAGCTGATTCAGCAGAGAATTAAAGAGGTTCAATACGTACTGGGGGACTTTAAGAGTAGAAGAGAGTCAGACAGGTAAGTATTCAGTGACGGAGATTGTAGTGAAGTATTTTCAGTTGCTGTTAATGATCAGTATCCCCCAACAAATGATGATAGGGGGATCCTGGATCACATGTCTATCTAGTTCTATATCTTTCCATGTTACTTTAAATTATTTTTAACACTGCACTATGTACCCAGGTTTTGAAATAACTTCAGAATATAAGTCCTTAAGGTTTATTATTACCATTAGATATGATACGACCCTGAAACAAGAGGCCCATGGGCCACATCGCTCACCTGAGCACTGTGCTAAGATAAAAACCAAAAATCAGTCCATTTTTGGAAAGCTTCAAATACATGTAGTGCTGACCTGCCCCTAAAAGGGGGAAGGGGATGGGTGGGTTATGATTTGAATTAACTTGAATCTACACTTACTAAGGATGCTTTCATATTTCAATGACTTGCTGTGGAATTTTTCCCTATGAGTTTGAACTTTCATCTTGGGCCCACCCTACCCCCGGTGGTCATGATTTAAACAAACTTAAATCTACTCTATCTGAGGAAGCTTCCATATAAATATGAGCAAGCATGTCTTTGTTCTTAAGAAGATTTTCAAAAATTTTTCCTATTTATTCCTATTTAAACTTTGATCGTCTATTGTGGTCCCACACCAACCCCTGGGGGGTCAGGATTTGAACAAACTTGAATCTACACTACCTGAGGATGATTCCATATAAATATCAGTCACCACTCAAGGCTTTGTTGTTCTTGAAAAGAAGATTTTTAAAGATTTTTCCTATTTAATCCTATGCAAAACTTTGATCATCCATTGTGGCCCCACCCTACCCCTTGGCTTTATCATTTGATCAAATTTTGAATCTACATGTACACTACCTGAGGATGCTTCCACATTAATTTCATCCTTCTTGGCCCTGTGGTTCTTGAGAAAAAGATTTTTCAAACATGCAACCTAAGTTTTACTATTTCTTGATTATCTCCCTTTGAAAGAAAACGGGGCCCTTCATATGAACAAACTTGAAATCCCTTCACCAAATGATGCTATGTGCAAGTTTGGTTGAAATTGGCCCAGTGGTTCTGGAGAAGAAGTCAAAAATGTTTAAAGTCTACAGGCAGATGGACTACTGCACAGACAAAATGTGATCAGAAAAGCTCACTTTAGCTATCAGCTCAGGTGAGCTAAAAAGGTCATTTAATCAATGTCAAGGTCACAGAGTTCAAAAATGTCAAATTCTGAAGGTATCTGTTATGTCAAATTAAAAAAAAAGATAAATCTTTGAATGGAAGAGCATAAGAGATAATGATACTTTGCTCACACGTTCATATAAATCTAGGATTTGGTCATGATTCTATGACTTAATTATTTGGACAATGTCAGCATCTTATGACTTAGAAATAAATGTTCATTCAATAACCGGACCATGAAATTTTACGTTGGACTGTGGATGGTCATATTTTTCATACTCAGTGTGCATGTGACCAGAGGTGTAACAACTTTAACTTACTCTTTAGCAAGAAGCAGGCATTGAAATTTAAGGATGATTTTCTTCAGTAGTTTAAGAAAGGTACTACAGGTTATTTTAACGTATATACAACTGTATTTTATAGTCACCCTAGAAGTACCGGTATGTTTCAGTTCTGTTAGTACAGTTCTAGCTTTATAGGTTGTTAAGTATACTATAGTATACATCTTTTTTTCTTAAAAAAAAAACTGTGGACCAGTATTTTTGGTATTTTAGATATATGTATGTAGTGTAAAAATATGCAATATCATTTTTTTTTCACAAATCCTTGGCTAATTAAAAGATGAAACTTCTTACTTCATTAACAATACAAATGTAAAACATTTTTTTCAAGACACAACATACCCTTTCTTTCTAGAGATGCATTCAGAAAATTTCTTCCTGTTTCTGCTATTTGGGGTTTTCTTATATATGTACATGTAAATACAAGGAAGTAGCAGTGCATGTGCATGTATCAGAGATTAAAATAGTTTTTGTTTTTATTTGCTACAGAAGCAGGCAGGAATACTTGGATCAACTTGTCAAGGATCTGTGTGCTTATTATAGCTACAATGAATTCCTTATGGAGAAACTACTACAGCTGTTTCCTCATGAGGTAAAATAGAATTTTAAAGGAAGTAAGGGTCGATCAAATAAATTAAAAATGTCATAGAATTGAACTCAGTGTAAAATTTCTTTTTAATTAAATCTGGATTAAAATTAAGAAAGAAGTTGTCATTGATGTGTTTCAGATCTCAGAATTTTTGGAAGCCAATGAAGTACAAAGACCTGTGACAATTCGTACAAATACACTGAAAACCAGGAGACGGGACCTAGCACAGGTATTGTTTTAACTAATACCCCATTCATACGACATGTTTTACATACCTCAGTATATTTTACACATAAGTAAATTTACTCACGTGTGCAATTTTTGTCGTATGAACGGATTTACTCATATGCAAATTCTGCACAGTGGAGTAAATTTACACCTGGTCAAGACTAGGTGCAAATTAACTTTTGCATACCTTTTGTAGCAAATTTTTAGTTCATGTGTGTAAATTTTGTCGTATGAACACGCAGCAAATGAACTTATGTATGTATTTTGTTTTGTTTATTGCATAAATCTACATTCTAAGTGTTGTTTCGATTGTGTATGCATTGGTACGTAAAATATTAGTTGGTAAACTTGGTGGCAAAAAGGAAAACTCAAACAATGAGCCATTATACCGTATAAGTAGAATTTTTAGCGAGGATTTAATTTTGGCATTATTAGCGAGGGTGCTGACATCGCTAAAATTGAATATCGCTAAAAATTAACTGCATATTATTTGCAATAACTTCTTTAGTAAGCATTTCAAAATCGCTAAAATTACTTCTCGCTAAAAATAAAATACCAGATTTTAGGTAGAAATCGCTAAATTTGCGTCTCGCTAAAATTCCACTTATACGGTAATATATATCTCCTCGTGATAAATTTTCGAATTTGCAAAAATGAGGGCATCTTGCACCCTTTCTAGCAAACTTTTGTATATATCTTTAAAGATAATAGTTGTGGTCGCTAATAAGTGCCCTGTAGGATCAATAAGTAGTGCCCTTACTATACAAGTTGTCTCCTTTGGAATGCTCCGAATCCATGATGGGAACATGCATTCCATCATTTGTACAAGCCCAATTACCGTTTAGCTCTTGATAACTTTCTTCTACCCTTCTTTAATCGAGACGAGCTACTCATATATAAGTCAATGTTACAGGAATTTCAATAAGCTCGTTGAAAATAAGAATTAGTATGTATCCTCTTTGGCACATAACACCATAATGTCCAGAGGTTCATGTTAATTTCTTTTTCACATAGTTTTATTGTTCAAAGAATTTTTGAGATAGATCACTTTTGGTCTTCTTCATCTTTTTCATTCTCCTTGAAAATACATAATTAGGCAAAAAAAAAAATTAATTTCTTGGTTCTCAGGCCCTCCCTTATCTCTTCCAAGGGTGCCTCATTGACCCTTTTTATAGCTAAATCAATAAAATATAAACACCAAATCACCTCCCTCATCATTTTTTGAGGTTTTGTACAATGTAAAAAGCTGCCTCATCATGTTATGAGGGCAATAAAAAAGAAAAAAATGCCTCCCTCCCTCATCATATTTCTTGAAAAAAGGCCTGAGAACCAAGTAATTAATTTTACATGGACTTACATGACTGAGCTTTTTCACACTAATTGTTAGTCAATTGTGTATACATGTTCACTGAATTGATGGATTTTTCCGTTATTTCCCGATCATGACAATGAGCACACGGCAGGTGTGACATGTTGGCAGGGGATGCTCACTCCTCCGTGGCACCTGATCCCACCTCTGATGTTTTGGAAGTCCGTGTTTGCTCTGCTCCTATTTTGTATTGTTTTATGGACTTTGATATTGAATATTGTTCGTTATCTCCATATCCTTCCTGTATCATATTAAAGAGGATATTTTATAATGGCCTCACACACTTGATGTACTGTAGATTTCCCAACACCAAAAAGATTCCAAATCGTCTTATTTCTGCTGGATACGTCAATCAGTAGATGGCAACAGTCATCCTTTTTTTACATCCTACTGCTCTTACAGTAAATAAAAATTTTAATAATATTTTTTCTTTGTGTGAAAATTCTTATACCATTCTTTGTCCTTAAAACATTATTTTCCCTTTTCAAACATAGTCTTTAAGGAACATTCAAAAGTTAGGTTTTTACCCAAACAGTAAGAAAATACACTTTATCTATAAAAATTCACAATTTTGAATCTGTCCATCTCCTTATTTTAATATGAAAATATAAGGATTTACTAACAGTACATAAATCTGGCCTGAACGCATAGCAAATTAACTTTTACTTACGTGTGTAGATTAACTTATATGTAAATTTGCACACATAAACAAATTTTCGTCGTATGAATGGGGTATAAGATTTCCACCTACCAGTACATACTTTAAAATTGTCTAGTTTTACACAATCAGGAAAAAAGTATGTCTAATACCTTGAATTGAAAAGAAGCTTGTACTAAATTTTTAATACATTAGTACAAGTAGATCTACGTGTGTATGTTTTTTTTATAGAAAAAATTTTTGTGGTATTGTAGAAATTGTAATAATGACACTTTTTTACATTTAAAAAAGGCTTTGATCAACAGAGGAGTGAATTTGGATCCCATTGGAAAGTGGTCAAAAGTTGGACTAGTTGTGTATGACTCACAGGTGCCCCTAGGTATGATGTAACAAGAAAAACTTGGAAAATTGTATGTTTCATAAAATAAAAAAAACAACACAGATTTAGCTTTATAGTATTTGTGACCTGATATTTTCCTAGGTGCCACACCTGAGTATCTGGCTGGCCATTACATCATACAAGGAGGATCTAGTTACCTACCTGTCATGGCCCTGGCCCCCCAGGAGAACGAGCGAGTTCTGGACATGTCCTCAGCTCCAGGAGGAAAGACAACTCATATTGGTATGTGAAATCTCACTATTTCAGTATTAAAAGATTATCATGTATTTCCAGTCAATCTGGTATTACCGTATTATTCTTAGCTCAGACATATGCCATACAGAGCTTTAAAGAATAAAATCACTGTAGTGGTTGGTATTTATTTCTAAATTCCAGCTGCTTTAATGAAGAATACAGGGGTGGTGTTTGCCAATGATGCCAACAAAGACAGAGCAAAGGCAATAGTTGGCAATGTCCACAGAATGGGTATCACCAATACTGTCATTTGCCATTACGATGGAAGGAAATTCCCCTCGGTAAGAGGTTGCTCTGTCACAGCATCATTTTGTATTAATGGAACTTTCTTTGAATCGGTTTACAAAATGAAATTATTTTGTCCAGGTTATGCATGGTTTTGACAGAGTTTTGTTGGATGCTCCATGTAGTGGGACAGGGGTCATTGCCAAGGATACAGAGGTCAAGATGAATAAGGTCAGTTGGGGTCATCAGTCAGGTCATCTTCTCGAACAGCACTTTATTTCATATCCAAGCCATGTTGAAATAGGTTAAACAAAATATCAATGATTTTATTTCCAGGATGAAAAAGACATTCAGAGGTGCTCCCATTTACAGAGAGAATTATTACTGGCTGCCATTGATTGCTGTGATGCCAAGTCTAACACTGGAGGATACATTGTGTACTCCACCTGTTCTATTCTTGTGAGTATACAACCCTTAAAATCATGAAAAGATCTCTAGAAGTTATGGTAATAAGTTATGTATGTGTATGATTTATTTTCCAGGTTGATGAGAATGAATCTGTGATAGAGTATGCACTAAGCAAAAGAAATGTCAAATTAGTTCCCACAGGGCTAGACTTTGGCAAAGAAGGATATGTAAAGTAAGTGCTACATGTAGTACTGTACCTGTAGATTTCTTTATTATCATTGTGTTTTGAAAAATTCCATAATCTGGTGCATTTGGAGTTTAAGAACACAATGTCTATGTTTTTATTTATTGAATTTTCTTTTGGATCATCAGCTTTGAGAAACACCGATTCCACCCCAATATGAAACTTACAAGACGGTTTTATCCTCACACACATAATCTGGATGGATTCTTTGTTGCCAAACTGAAGAAATTTTCAAACAAAATTCCAGGTGATTTCTAGTTTACTTCTATGTGGAAGGTTCTTCTTCATACAGTTGTTAATATCGGTATTGTCAAAGATTTTATACATACACTTTTAGCTTTAATTACATCTCAGTAACAGAAACTGAATAGTGTAGTGTTATTTTCTAATTCAAAAGAAAGTAAAATGATGCAATTTTTATTTCTCCCTTATAAGAACTCTGAAGAATTCTTAGGTTTCACACAAAAATTATCTTTACAAATGTATAGACTCTTGTATGAATTTCTTAAGAGTTTAGGCAAAAGACCTCAGGCATGCTACAGGTGTAAGATTATGCTACAGTGTATTATTAGTTACATAGTCTTTTAGTGACAGGGTATGGGATGATACCTGGTTAGTAAATTTCATACCTGGCGAGGCGGAGCCGAGTCAGGTATGAAATTTACTAACCAGGTATCATCCCATACCCTGTCACTAAAAGACTATGTAACGAATTTACCCCACCGATGAAACATTTAAGTTTCATATGTAGTTTATAAAATGGTTTTCTCTGCTAAATGCTTCGTCGCGCTTATACTGTGCCTATTATGACGTCACGTTTTTGTTTGTGACGTAATACATCGACCGGGTATAGATTTACTGACAGGGTATGGATTTACAACTGACCGTGTATAAGTAATCCACCGCCTTCACGTGACAGACTTCAACCAATCGTAAGCCAGAATTTCACGGAAAAATCAACAGAGGTGGGGTAAATTGAATTTAACAGTACTGTAGTAGCTTCAAATTATATCATCTTTGTTTTTTTCCTAATCCTTTCCAAGTATGGTTTCTCTTGATAGATTAACCCTTGAGAAATATTTCCAGTAAATGATTATTATTATCAGAGTTCAAGAAATTTCAAATGATTTTTATGACAGGCGAGGAAGAGAAAACTCGGGTTGCAGCTGAGATGGCAGAGTCTGTGAACATTTCTGATGAGGGCAAGAAAGAAAAGGAGGGAGAGAAGGACAGCAAACCAGCTGAAGACAAGAAGGAGGAGGAGTCACCAGTCAAAAAAGAGAACCAGAAAAAGAGAACTAATAAATATAACAAAAAAGACAATGGAAAAAAGACCTTCAAACCTGGCAAATTCAAAAAATTTAAAAGTGGTGATGGAAAATCAAAGCAAATGATGCAAAAGAAGAAAGCAAAGACAAAAAAATGAATCTAAGGTTTATGATATTACAGTGAAAATTTGGAAAACGATCAGATTGTTATCATTTATGAGAGACATGATGGTGTACGTGCTAGCACGTAAAGTAAAGGAGACTTTAATTTGAAACGTACATATTCATATCAAATACATGTACAGACAAGCCATTCTGTAAAAATACAAGTAACATTCATGCATCACTTTTGAAAATAATCTTGTAATATGATGATCATGAAGTAATTATGCATTTAGGGTACAAAGATTTCTTGCAAGAATCAATGAATAAATGGTATATTTGAATATCCTGAGACCTTTTTAAAAAAAATTAAATGGCAGTGTGAAGTGCACAATAGTAATGAAGAGAAGAGGTAAATTGTCTATTTTAAGAGGATGTTCTATTAAAATTTATTTCCATTAATTTGCTAATAACAAATTTGCAAACAAATTCTAATCATTGGAACTGTTGATTTATCACCTCCTTTTGCTTCTTATTGAAAGCTCTGGCAGTCACTACCAGGTACCTAAGTTTTACTTCTAAAGTTGGATGTAGTACAATGCAAGAGATTACTCCTAAATATCTGGCATTTGCCAAAGGGTTTTTAAAGTGATTTTGATATTAGATGTGCAAGAATACCACCATATGAACATGATACTTGCAATTTAAATTAAATATCAAACTCACAACTTACCAATTGCACTATGCTTTGAAATTTCACTTAGAAAATACCACTCTACACTTTGATTCAGGTCTTACAAGATTTCAAACTGCTTGAAATCAAAACTTACTTTGACAATTTGATCAAATGTTTTCACAAGACTTTATAATACATGTACATGAAAATAATGAAAGCAATATAATGTTGCTAAGATGTGCGTTGGACATTAAATTCAATTCGCATGTTTGGAAAATCAACCCGAGAACGTTGCCTCCATTTGAAGATGGCAAATTTCCACTTTTCAAAGTGGCCCAGCAAAGGCCTGCATTCTGATGTTTTATATCAAAATTGTGTTTTAAAAAAGCCAGTAAAATGTCAGATATTTCCGACCAAAAACAAGTGTTCCACCAGTTCAGCTATCAGTCCTGTGGTTCAATGGTGAAAAATTGATCTGACCACCACTTTCCCGGCCCCTCCTAAATGTGTTTGCTTACATACCAACATAGGTTAGTCCCTGACAGGTCTTATACCTGCAACCTCAACAGCATGGCACCAAAACCCTAACCCTTAAACTCTACAACTGAGCTCTCTGGGTGCCTGAAAACAATGGCATAACCCTTTAGAGAAAAAAAAAAGAATTACCTCAGAATTATGAATTCAGTGCTTTAATAAATATAAATTTTTGTTCATTGTATGAAATGAGAGGTGATGCCATTGTTGTCAAAAAGGTTGTAAATATGTGGACACAAAATGAAAAAAATGGACTGGAATTTTATTAAACAACTGTTTTTTATTAATTACTACAGGATATGTCCTGTTCTACAGTTCTACCTATAAACAAGAAATTCTGTTTACATATTCAATTCCTGATACCTTCAGGGTACATACTTGTCTGAATTTGAAATCTAAATGCTTAGGTAATTTCCTAGTATATGTTGTACATATTTATCTAAAATAATGTACATATTACAATTAAAATGTTGATGGTCTTTCTCCAAAAACCAACACAAATTTCCAAAATCGTTGCTATTATATTTATAAAGAAAAAGGTAATATTCAGGATTTTTACAGTGAAAACAAAATGCAATGTAACAAATTGAAACAGTTTAAGTATAGAAAAACACACAATGTATTGATATAGCAATTGATGAAATAAAATCTGAAAAGTTCAGTTTTATCATGTCTTAAACTTGGAGTCTGAATCTGTTGCTGTAGGCCTTAACCATTTTCAGTCTAAAAAAATTAAAACAGTGCAAATTTCTTTTATGTATTTATAGTATGCACTCAATTTGTAGATACATTTACATTAATACAGATAGCACGGACATAACATATACTGAAAGGAAAAAGAAACGCATAAGAACATAATATGGGGAAATTTTTTGACTATGTGTCCGAAAATTATGAAAATTGGTCAGATGTGTATTTTGGTTACTTTGCACTAAAATTGCTGGTCAAAACTACTCAACCATGAAATCTATGGTGTCACGGGGAAATGGTGAAAAGTCAAAAACATGTATGTTGATGATGATTATTTTCAATTTGTGATAAAATTTTGTATGCCATACAATGCATTAGAGTTATAGACATCGTTTTTGCATATTTGCAGTCAGTATAAATTTCTTGCAATCATGGTATGGCTGACGGAAGCTACTGTGGGTTTAGTAATATTGTAGTCAATATTGCATACGTGAATAGAAAGGCAAAAACATGCTGCTGTACAGATTCTTTTCAACTTTTCAACCAAATAAAAGTTTTTTTGGTTGTCAAAGAGTTCACTTAAAAGGTTTCTAACCAACCATGACGGTGACGGCGCGTAACAACGTCATATCAAGATAGGGCTTTTCATCATGCCACCTAGGTTATTGTCAAGGCATTATCACTGAAACTGATATTTATACAGCAGACAATCATACTTATTTTATTTCACCCTAAGTTGACAGAAAATCTCTACTCTAATTTGGGCCGCGAGCTTGGCCACTTTACGTCGGTTTTACTCTCAAACGCGCAGGTACGCATCGTTTGCGTGATTTTTTTAAGCATGTTTACACTGGAAAATGTAGCTAGTGATTGTCGAGATTTTTTTACAAACATTCACGTGTACCAAACCTGCTGGGTTCTGTACATTCTATCCTAAATCAAAAATTCGTGGGATTCGATTGGGCAGGGGGATTTGTTGGCTTTGGAATAATACAGCTAATCTCAGCCATTAAGACTACCGTCGGAAGGGTTGGATAATAATGCTATGAAAAAGAAAAATGCTCTGGTGAACTCAATGCACAGGAAAATCAAGTTTGTTCTTGATGCAAAGGGGAGATTATGAGATTTTTTAGTTTTATTTTTGGGGGGTGTCGACATATTGATATCAATATCTCGGGAATTATCAGTCAAAATCACACAAAAATTTGGTAACTTGTTGATTAAAGATGAATTAAAATGTATGATAACAATGCTGGAAAACATATTTGAAATAAATGTTTTAATTTAACTCAAAAGTTTAATATGCGTTTCTTTATCCTTTCAGTATATAAGTAGCTGCAAACTTTAATGAATTACTAAAAAAAATGCTGCAATGAAATACTGTTTTTCCCATCATCTTTCAGTAGCTCTTATTTCTCTGTGAATCACCAGTTAATAAAATGTTGCAAGAAAATATATGAAAACATCAGAAGGAGCATCTCCCTGAAATTTAACAAAAGAACATGCCTAAATGCAAACCGTCTTCAGCCTTTAATTTAAATCACTTTTTGCCCCAAATTAATAATGTTAATAATAAATGCACAAGTTAATTTTTAATCAGTACTCTTTTGAAAATTGAAATAAAATTTTGACACCAACCTTTGCTGGTTATTTGCTAAACAGACTCTTGCCCCACCAGAAGTACCATCTCCTTTTATGCTGAAATATTTTTAGTTATTTTGATAAATTACATATTCATAAACATGATAAAATGTACACATTTTAGATATGGATGTCGTTTACATTTGGTTTATTGTATTCCAAGTTCTCTAATTAGCTCAAACTTTATCAAGGGATATATTTCTAAAAAAAAAAAAAAAAAGATTAATCCAACCAGAAATCCCTGTAAAGACTGTACCTCCACTGGTTTGTACTACAGGCATTTGAATCGCTTAAAAAAATTGTGTGTGTAAAAAAACATATTTTTTTAACACCTAAAATTTTTTGGGACATAAAACTTTACACATACAAAAAATAGAATAATGACCCTTGATTAAGTCTCTTTTTGTGGCAATATTGCAAAAAGACTACAACTGTAGGAGTAGTTTTTAACAAAATTTCACAGAAATTTTCAATTTTAGTCACCATGGCAACATCTTTTATCAAAAAACGATAAATACAATTATGTATCTCAGTGTAGTCTACTTGTGTGCCAAATTATATTATAATCAAACTAAAACTGTATCTGGAGTAGCATTTTGAAAGTACATGTATTTCACAGAAATTTCTATTTTTAATAACCACGGCAACACCATTCATTGAAATCAAAAACAGATGCACCATATTATGTATCTTAGGGAAGTGTACTTGTGTGCCAAGCTATATTGAAATCAGACCAAAACTGACTGTAGGAGGAGTAGCGTTTTAAAGGAATTTTACAGAAATTTCTATTTTTAGAAAGCATGGCAACACCGTTCATCGAAATCAAAAACGGATGAACAATATTCTGTATCTTAGTGTAGTCTACTTGTGTGCCCAGTAATACTGAAATCAGACAAAAACTGTTGAAAGAGTAGCATTTTAAAGGAATTTCACAGAAATTTCTATTTTAGTAACCACGGCAACACCATTCATCCGAATCAAAAACCAATATACTATACTATGTATCTTAGTGTAGTCTACTTATGTGCCAAGTTGTATTGAAATCAGACCAAAATTGTAGAAGGAGTAGTGTTTAACAGGAATTTAACAGAAATTTCTATTTTTAGTAACCACGGCAACACCGTTCATTGAAATCAAAAACCGATGCACCATATTATGTATCTTAGTTTCATGTACTTGTGTGCCAAGTTATATTGGAATCAGACCAAAACTGTAGGAGGAGTAGCATTTTAAAGGATTTTCACAGAAATTTCTATTTTTAGTAACCATGATTACATTTGTACACCGTTCATCGGAATAAAAAACTGATGCCTTATTTGTAGATATATAGTTCGCAAACTTTTTGATCACCCCTTGTACCCTCTGGATTCCCTTTACTTACTCTCAGGATTCCTTTTACATTCTCTCTGGATTTCCTTTACATACTCTCTGGATTTCCTTTACATACTCTCTGGATTTCCTTTACACACCTTTTGGATTCCCTTTACTTACTCTCAGGATTCCCTTTACATACTCTCTGGATTTCCTTTACACACCTTTTGGATTCCCTTTACACAATCTCTGGATTTCCTTTACATACTCCCAGGATTCCCTTTACATACTCTCTGGATTTCCTTTACACACCTTTTGGATTCCCTTTACACAATCTCTGGATTTCCTTTACATACTCCCAGGATTCCCTTTACATACTCCCAGGATTTCCTTTACATACTCCCAGGATTCCCTTTACATACTCTCTGGATTTCCTTTACATACTCTCTGGATTTCCTTTACACACTTTTTGGATTCCCTTTACTTACTCTCAGGATTCCCTTTACATACTCTCTGGATTTCCTTTACACACCTATTGGATTCCCTTTACACAATCTCTGGATTTCCTTTACATACTCCCAGGATTCCCTTTACATACTCCCAAGATTCCCTTTACATACTCTCTGGATTTCCTTTACTTACTCTCTGGATTCCCTTTACATAGATTACTCTCTGGATTATCCTGGTCTCTGACCAGTAGAACTAAAAATAATACGTTTTTTAAGCAAGAAAGATATTTAATAATGGGTAGTTAATAATGTGTAGTCTATAAATAAATTTTATTTTATTTTGGCCGTTCCTCCGTCAAAATGTTTATTTTCTTGTAATTATATATTACTTTTATGGATATAATCAGTTAATCACAGCAATGTAATCATAGTGATACATGTATGCAGAGCCCTTTCTCTTGTGGTTTTTCAATTCAATTACTTTTATACTTTCATATGCTATTCTTTTCTGTCCATCAAGTTTAATTTTCTAAATTAAGAAACAAAAAAATAGAACAACTCAAAATATGAAAATGCACCATATTCTGGGATTATACATGCATATATTTGCTTTTAACTGATTCTGAGTTTGTCACTTCCCGTAGTTTCTGAAAATGATGCCATGCATGTGAAAGTGCATTAAAGAATTGTACCTCTCGAGAAAAATTAAGCTTGAGAAACTATTTTGTCTGGGGAGTTACAGTCTGAAGTAACTAACAAATGCATCTGAAAACAAATTGAGTAATTGTGTTAGGGTAACTCAATAAATTTCAACAATCTTACATGGTCAATATATATATATTTTTAAATCACATGCATTGTAAGTAATTCTGTTATGGTAAATTAATAGATTAAAAGTAAAACTCAAACACATTATCATGAACTGATCCTGTTATGCTTTTTAAAAAATCATACTTTGTATTTAATTGTGTTGTGGTTTCTTTCTTTACGTAACAAGCACTATCTAAAATTTAAAAATAAATTGAATAAATAAAGGATGAGCTGGCAAGCGCTTTAAATAATTATTACTTCTACAGACAAACAAGATGTGTTTGTGAAACACTGATGCCCCCGTATGGCAACATAGCGAAGGTTAACCTTTCTCAAATGCAGATCAAATATGTTTATACCTAAAGTAAGACCTTTTCACAAGAAATGCAAGTGTGAAATATAAAACCCTAGCACCACCTGTTCAAGGGTTATGACCAAGGTTAACATTTTAAAGGTAGGACATACTACGGGATCAAGGTCAAAGGGTCAAGATTGTTGGTTTCTAAAGAAATGCCTTTGTCTCAAAGATTATATATGGGAAGTATGAAAGCGCTGGTCCTTATACCGTTCAAAAGTTATGACCAAGGTTAAAGTTTGTAAAAATTAGGTCAAACTCCGAGGCCAAGGTCAAAAGATCAAGGTTCTTGATATCCCATGAAAGGTCTTGTCACCAGGATTACATATGTGAAACATGAAAGCTCTAACCCTTAGTTTTCAAAAGTTATGGCTAAGGTTTAAGTTTGTAAAAAGTAGGTCAAACTCCAAGGTCAAGGTCAAAGGGTGAAAGTTGTTGATATCCAGTGAAAGGTCTTCTCAAAAGGACTACACATTTGAAGTATGAAAGCCCTGGCCCTTACTGTTCAAAAGTTATGGCCAAGGTAAAAGTTTTTTCGTAAGTACAAAAATCTCCAAGGTCAAGGTAAAAAGGTCAAAGGTCATTTCAAATGAAAGGTCTTGCCAAAAAGAATTGATACCTGAATTACGAAATTCCTAGTATCTATCGTTTAAAAATTAGGGCCAAGGTAAAAACCAGAAGTCTCTGTCGAGACTGAAGCTCTACTGGTTTGAACTTATAGCAAAGGAAGAGAAAAGTACTTAAGCAGCTGGGATTTGAAACTAAATAGAATAATGATCGTTGATAAAGTCTCTTTATGTTCTTAGTGTAGTCTACTTGTGTGCCAAGTTATACTGAAACCAGACCAAAACTGTAGGAGGAGTAGCATTTTGAAACAATTTTACAGACATTTCTATTTTTAGTAACCACGGCAACACCGTTCATCAAAATTAAAATTCGATACACAGAATTATGTATCTTAGTGTATTCTACTTATGTGCCAAGTTATACTGAAATCAGACCAAAACTGTAGGAGGAGTAGCATTTTGAAACAATTTTACAGATATTTCTATTTTTAGTAACCACGGCAACACCGTTCATCGAAATCAAAAACCGATACACAGAATTATGTATCTTAGTGTATTCTACTTGTGTGCCAAGTTATAATGGAATCAAACCAAAACTGTAGGAGGAGTAGCATTTTGAAAGAATTTCACAGAAATTTCTATTTTTAGTAACCACGGCAACACCGTTCATCAAAATCAAAAACCGATATACAGAATTATGTATCTTAGTGTATTCTACTTGTTTGCCAAGTAATACTGAAATCAGACCAAAACTGTAGGAGGAGTAGCATTTTGAAAGAATTTCACAGAAATTTCTATTTTTAGTAACCACGGCAACACCGTTCATCGAAATGAAAAACCAATACACAGAATTATGTATCTTAGTGTAGTCTACTTGTGTGCCAAGTTATAATGAAATCAAACCAAAACTGTAGGAGGAGTAGCATTTTGAAAGAATTTCACAGAAATTTCTATTTTTAGTAACCACGGCAACACCGTTCATCAAAATCAAAAACCGATACACAGAATTATGTATCTTAGTGTAGTCTACTTGTGTGCCAAGTTATACTGAAATCAGACCAAAACTGTAGGAGGAGTAGCGTTTTGAAAGAATTTCACAGAAATTTCTATTTTTAGTAACCACGGCAACACCGTTCATCGAAATCAAAAACTGATACACAGAATTATATATCTTAGTGTAGTCTACTTGTGTGCCAAGTTATATTGAAATTAGACCAAAACTGTAGGAGGAGTAGCATTTTAAAAAATTGTTTACAGACAGACGGACAGACAGACGGACAGACGGACGGACGCCGGACGCATTACTATCGCATAAGCTCTTTTTTGTAGAGCTAAAAATTGGAATTTTTTAGTAAAAGTGGGTCAAACTCCATGGTCAAGGTCAAAGGGTCAAAGTTCTTGATATCATGAAATATATTGGAAAAATCTTTTAAAATCACAATAGGTATTACAAAAGGGGGAATCTGGTAAAGAACAGTATAGTCAAAGTTACTCAGGTGAGCGATGTGGTCCATCCTATATGTTCCTATATATTCCTATGTGCAACTTTGATAGTCCTTTGTGGTTCCACTCTACCCCTGGGAGGCAATGATTTGAACAAACTTGAATCTACACCACCTGAGGATGCTTTTACATAAAATGACCAATCATTACCTTGCTGTTCTCTAGAAGAAGATTTTTTAAAGATTTTCCCTATATATATATTTCATTGTAAATTTTGATCATCAATTGTGGCCCAACTCACCACGGGGGTCATGGTTTGCACAAATTTAAATTTACACTGCCTGACTATGATTCTACATGAATTTCATCGTTTCTGTCCCTTTGGTTCTTGAGAAGAAGAATTTTTAATGATGCCATTAATTTTTCGCTATTTCGTAATTATCTCCCTTTGGAGGAGGACTCTTCATTTGAACAAACTTGTGTCCCTGTTACCTAAGAATACCCTGTACCAAGTTTGGTTGAAATTTTTGCAGTGTTTCTGGAGAAGATGAAATTGTGAAAGTACAACGGAAAAATTTTTATCAGAAAAGCTCACTTGAGCCTTCAGCGCGGGTGAGCTAAAAAGGAAAACGTCAAAGCCCAAAGTTAATAGCACTAGTCAGGGAAAAATTATTCATTTTTTGCCAGTCGAGGACAGATTTTCAACATTTTCAACGACAGACAACGTATTATTTCCAAAATCTGCCAGCATCCGCCCCCTTCCCCTCGCAATCAAATGGTCATCCCCTACTGAGACCCTAATTGTTTTCAAAGTTGGTTCTTCTTTTCTAGGAATACTTGGAGACGAGTCTGCATGACGTCTGAACTGTAGTTTTGGAAAAAGGATCGAAATGGAAATTTCTACAAAATGTATGTGGACGGGCAACCACAGACAGAACTCAGTCTCGTTCAATCAGATGAGCTGAAAACGACAATACATATTTTTATACATCATAATATAATATATGCTGAACTTACAATGAGTACTATCTGTTGACTTGTACTGTCCTGATGGACATGTCAATCCTGGTGCGAAATTACAATCTCTCTCATCTACATTTCCTCTTCCATATGTATTAAAATATGCGCATTTGCCTACAATTTTCAAATTAAAAAAAATGTATTTTTAAAAGACATTGGAGTATTCCTTCGCAAAACATTGTATCTGTACTTTTAGCAACCATCCCAGTATCCATGAATTTTATTATATTAATTTTATGTGTCTGTGTGTGTGTTTAAAGTGAAATGTCCTAAATTCTATTCTATGTAGCAACCTCTAATGAGTGGCGATTTTGCATTAGCGGTTGAAAAGGTCAATCATTAATGCAATAATTTATGACATTAAGCGTTGATATATCATTAGAGGTTGCTACAGTGCAGCTTTATATTGATCGTGTACTGTAGTACACACTAAGGTATAAAAAGAGAGTGTTTGAAAATAAATTATACATGTTTGTGTGAGTACCCGTATCACTGTCAACTGATCAGGAGACAGTTACTCTTACTGACATTTAACAGCTGTTCAATAATTTAATTAAGACCTTTTCACTGATTGACACTCAAGAATATTCTCTCACCTGTTGGAATCCACTTCCATCCCCTGCATACTTCATACTCATCAGAGTAATGCTCATCAAGGAGGCAGTGATAATCTCCATTGCTTCCACACGACAGACGATCTTGATTATTCATCTCCAAACACATGGTATTCACAACAAGTCTGTATGGTTGCTCAATACACAAAGCTGTCTTATAAATCACCAGGATGGACATCCAATGGGCCAAACTCACCATTTTATTGTAGCTCAGAAGTCTTATACATTTGGAACATACCTACATACAGATGACAGATGTAAACATCAACATTAAGGTAGCTAGGATTCTTCTCATATATTTCTAATATTTAAACTTTTAAATTAATGAAATTTTCACAGAATCAAGAAGACAATATCAGTAAGTGATAGTATCAGTGAAATTAAATTTGACCGTTTTATATTAGAGGCAAGGTCAGGTCAAGGTAATTATCTTTTTCCTTGACCTGTTGACATTAAGAATAAAAAAATACTGTTGCCAATCATGTGATACCTACTTCTATTTCAAAAGTTTAAAGATTATTCTTTTTGCATAAAAACATATTACTATATCGTGTCTATAGCACCATATTACCAAATTTACATAAATAATTTAACTTAACTGGATATTGGCTAATCCGAATTTTCTCTGTTTTTCTTATTTTTTTAAGGATATATTAGTTATTTTCATATGTTTCCTATTATTAACTTTTTCTTATTTTCACATATAATATAGTAGTCTTATAAGTGTACAAAATGTTACAAAAACAAAAAGTTTTGATCGTTTACTAAGAGAGAAAAAAATACTTTTTATGGATTTTGGCTCAAATCTGCACTTTGTTTGATAGGAAGCGTTTAAAAGCTAACAAAGTTCTAGTTTGTTTGAAAAATCATTTTTATTTGATATATTTTGAAAGTTTAGTCCCTCATTATTAATTTAATTTACCTTTGAAAATTTCTCCAAGTCTTCGATTGTGTAAAAATTATAACTAAATTCATTGTTCTATAATAATCTTGAGAGGCAGAAAAGAAGATATTTTCATACGCCACCATTCCGCCAAAAATATAGTCCCTGGCCTGCTGGTTTTGAAACGCAGTTTACCATTTCAATGAGTGGTACAATTGTGATGAGGAAAGAAAAATATGGTCTTTTAAATTACTTACACCTCAATATATAAGACATATAAGCAAATATACTATGAATGTTTCATCTAGTCAGAAATCAGGGAAGATTCCTACCTTAACAGTACTCACTAGGGTCCCTACTTGTGGGCTCGTTTTTTTTTTCTTATTAGGTCCATGCGCAGGTGACCTCGAATCAAATGGTGATTTGAGTTCAGGTAACCCCTATACCCCAGTCCATTACAATATTTAGAATCGAATTATTATTTATAGAATAAAGTTATTTCAAGAGTGGAGCTCGAGTGGAACAGCCCAGCAGGCACACAACGTTGTTTAAACGTTGAATATTAGTTGAAGTTGGGTTTAGACGTTGATAAATCTAGATACAATATTGATTCAACGCTGACTTTTCAACGTTGAAAATTTAACGTTGAATCAACATTGAATTCAAATTGAGTTGAATTGCCAACATTGATTCAACGTCGGATCTTTGCTGATAGCAACTTACTGTTTACAATACATATAAATTTCACCTTAGAAAGTTTTAAATTTGTAATATTGATTTTCATAAACAACAATAACATTAGAACCACATGGAAAATGGTCTGAAGTATAAAGCGCTGCTTATTTTTTCAGAAATGATTTTTATGTGCAGATCATGAAATAAGGAAATTGAACACGGAGAATAGAAAGAGCAACGATTTATTACCACAACATTAAATATGATATATGAGGTGCAGATGAAAATAATACTTACTATTATATCTATTTAAATCATGTTAGAAAACATCATGGAGCGATGTTTCCTAAGTCGGAAAATCACAATGTTGTATGTGGTTGTAAGGAAAAAAAAATATATATCTGTGATGAGGAGTTATCTTTCTTCTAAATATTTCTTCATGTGAAAAAAAAGTCATTCTAATTAAAATACTGTATTAAGTACTTGAAATATTAAACCATTTTTAAAATAGTATTTAAAAAGATACAACTTATTCAATTCATAAGGCATTTGATGTTGGATTTAAATGTTTTATTGTTAAATATAATAAAACAATTACAAAGAAATTTGCAAAAGAAATAGAAAGTAATGTTTCCATCCTATGTTTGATCTCATCAAAGTGACTACTCAGAGGTCTCAGAAAACTGAGTAAGAAAACTGTGAGTAGTATTACTATTTAGTACTTTGAAAGTTATCTGTCTTATCAGAGAGTCGCTATCCCTTCAACAATTACGAAGGCATCTTAGGAACCGTGCAATGAAAAGGTTGAAATTTTAAGTAATAGTAAGATCATATGAAGAGAAATCTTCGTCATGAAGAATGGGCGGAGCGAAGCGGAGCCCATTCTTCGTGACGAAGATTTCTCTTCATATCTTCGTCATGAAGAATGGGCGGAGCGAAGCGGAGCCCATTCTTCGTGACGAAGATTTCTCTTCATATGACCTTACTGACTTAGAACAGAACCTCAGCCAATCAAATGAATGGATTAAAATATAAACTCCTCCCACGACTGTGTCATATATAAGGCTCAACTTGACCGATCGTTGTACATATCGAGCACGCAACCAATATCGAACACACGCGGTTTTAGAATTGACTCCCAACCCATTCAGGTTAGCACGGGATTAAATGAAATAGCTTGATTTTCTGGGGGAAATGGTATGGTGAAAATATTTAAGTTACTGAACTAATGAATACCCATGTAACAAGAATCGAAATATCTATATTTAAAAAAAATGATTGTGTTAAGATGACAAGGCCCTAGTCAGCAGGAGTGTATCGCTGTCTAATATCAAATAAAAATTAGATAAAAATTGTGATTAAATCTGTCTTCAAAGACAAGGTTCGTCTCTGATATACATGACGATGGTTGTATTTTCTGAATGTACCAAAATGTGAAAAAAATAATATTCAAAAAGGCGACAAAAGATTACAGTGGGAAAAAAAGTGTAGCAAGGCCTAGAAAGTTTAAATATCATTGTAAACAGCACGTGGGTTTTGAATAGTTTCTTTTTGTGTGCTGAACAAAGACCAATGAAGACACACCCATATAACTGTCAAGTGAACCAATCAGATAACGTTGAATTTTTCAGAAATAGAAGAATTCTTCACCATGAAGAATCAATTCTTCGCGAGAAATGGAAGCATTTGATTGGCTGAATAAGTAGGTTATGTTCTAAAGCTGACATGAACTCTTAAAAAGCCATTATTTTTCATCTTTGTACGACTTACTACATTCCTGTACGCCTTTGTCCGCCATATTTCTTCGATTCCGCCATATTTAATTGAAAATTTTTGGTCACCTGTACCTGCTATATATAGCCTTGTACGATTGCTTCACTTGAGTGATTTTCTAGCTTGACTGTCGACATGTACACATCTCCGATAACAGAGTTTTTAGAAGTCCATAAACTGACCAAATACATGTTTGAAAAGTAAACATTCAACAAAAAATAGAACTATACCGAGAATTAAATTATTTTTGAATGCATTTGCAGCAATATAGAAAATAAACTAACACGGAATACATACATCTACACCAAACACGCATGCAGGTCGAGAAAACGCGTCAAACGCAGTGATAAAAACATTTACCTGACTACTGCTATCGTATCAGGGATGTGCACATGTCGAAAGAATTATCCTATTTTACTTTTATTGAAAAATGCATCTCAGAAGTCATGTAATCCATTGCTAACTCAACAGTAAAAGATGCTTGGACACACGTGGCCCATGCCGATCATTTTATTTGGTCAGGGAAAATATCAAAGGTTGAAAGCTCAGTGGGGTTGATTGAAAAAAAAAATGCAAGTAATTTTTTCAAAAATAAACATTACTCTTGTCTGTACATGTTGTAAATAAAATTTACGATTAAGTACATGGTTTAACTTCATTAGTTTCATTTAAAAAAAGCAGGCATTATTACGAATCATTCACCTTTTGAAGATATTTTATCGTGATATGAGGGGGGGATGTAATAAAACATGCATAACACTCTCATAAAAATAATGTAAGAAAAACGTCTGAAACAGATTGGATTTCTTTATGATAAATTATTATTAAATAAATACTGTGTATTGGCTTTATTAGACCTAATATAATTTGATTTAAAGTTATCTATAATTTTATGCACTGTGAAAGAAAAAGCGAGCACGTTCACATACCCCACGCTCCCCCACAAGTCGAAGTGCTGAAATTCCCAGAAAAAAAAGGAATCGTAATTTCCTTGTAATATGCACATCTATACATACTGTGTCCTAAATATCTGCAAAGTTTGACGAAATTGTGTGCAGCGGTTTATGTGGAGTTGCGCTGACAAACTGCTCACCTCTATATTCAAGATATGGCCAAAATCTAAATGTAAAAGTGCGGAAATTCCCGAAAAATAAAGAATTCGGAATTTCCAGGTGATGTGCAAATCTACACACACATTGTCTCCTATAAATATCTGCAAAGTTCGACAAAACTCTGTACAGTGGTTTATGAGAAGTTGCGCTGACCAAAAAAAAAAGACTGACTGACGGGTCAAAACCATTATACCTCACGCGTGGGGTATAATCTTTGGTACAATGATAATGAAAATAGAATTGAATGTGAATTAAATTTCTAGACATAAATAATTGATGATTATTAGAAAAAGCATATAGGAAGAGAGTTTAAGCTCCTCGTGAGAATTCCACATTCTACCTAAAACTAGCTTTTTAAAAATTATCTTGTCTGTTGTCCAAGTTCGACACATACGTTTGAGAAGGTATTCGAGAAAGTTCCCAATGTTCCCATTCCTGTAATTGTATATTTCACGTTTATTATATCCCCCGCCTGAAAGGTTATATAGTAATCGTTATGTCCGTCCGTCTGTCTGTTACGCTTTGCGGTACCCATCTCTTATCCGCAAATCCTCTTATACCACTTAGAGAAATTTAATGAAACTTTCAAAGAATCTTAAGTTTATTACATATTACCATTATGCACCTCCTATTTTACTTTTTGATCCGACACGTATGGGTTTAGCGAAATATGGACTTTGCCATTATAACTATATGGGAGGCAGGGGGTATCATTTAGTGAGCTCATGGCTCATAAGGGTGTTGCTAAAACGCGGAACGGAAAACGGAACGGAACGGAAAACGGAAAATCTTTTG